GTCGAATATTCTTGAATTTTGATCAATTATGCAACAATAACTGCGTCAAAAGAAAATCCCTTATTTATATGAAGTGTCCCTTTTTTCCCTTTTAATAATTTTTGATGCAAAATATCCCTCAAATAGGCAAATTACCCTCAATCTGGCATCACTGTAGTTGAGATCTAACAGAGGTAGAAGAGGGTGCCTCAGCGGCAATTATTTTGTCAAGGGAAATTTTTTTTGTTAAGGGGAATTTTTGTCATGAGATTTCGCTAAATTTAAATAGTTGTAAATCAATAAAAACCAAAACTGATTGAAGATTTCGAAAAAAACACACAATAAATATAAACACAACCATATTTGAGATGTATGTATGTATGTATGTACATAAAGTGGGCCACCGCGCTCAAGATTTAGCACATTTGTTGCACTTCTTGAGGGCGCGATGATATTTTATGCTGTCGTGGCCTTCTTGTCAAATGCATTTCAGTCGAACCATTGGGAACCACTTAAAAATTTGGGTATATCGCTTATTGTGGATCTAGTTAAGTCCGCCAGCTGATTCATTAAACTCCTCGAACCCCTTAACAGCAAATTAAATGCTGTCATTCAAGCAGCAGCTGTGGAGAAGTCCTATTCTAGAAGCATCGTTTCCTAACGGCCAGTTACCGATAATGAAGGCAATTCCTGGCCAAAATAAATGCAAGTCTTTTGTTAGACTATTGAGAGACAGTAGACAAGACTGTTTGAAAGAATCTGTTTATGTTGTTGGTAAGCTCGCGCTACTTCAACCGGCGCAATGGCATAGTGAGCAAAACACTGGTTTGCCATTGAGATTTCTAAGGTTCGAATCCGAGCAGCGAGGAATTTTTTTAATTTGATTTTTCTTCTTTTTTAATTTAATGTTTAGATGTTGTTGTTTTAAAAGGAAACATATTTTTATAATTTCTTTTAATTTTTAGAAACCTATCTTGTTTCTTTTTTTTATTATTTAATTTAATTTAATTTCGAAAGACAGAAAAGAGCTTTAAAAACAGTTTCCATAATTGGCAATTGTCTTAGAAAAACTTTTGTCTTTCGAAAGACTGTGGTGAGTTGGAAGACAGTTGCCACGATTACCTTGTTAGAGCGCGGTTACCCACGAACGTTTTCGTAGCGTAGCGTAGAAACATATCAAAATTGCTGTTGATAGAGAGAGCGAGAGAGAAAAGCAGCGTCTACGTCACGGTCATGCGGTGGTGAGTTTTTGTTAACACGCAGATCCTATTAGATCGGTGATGGGCACCGCCTTGTCCGCGGGCAGAGCTTTTTAAGCTTTTTATACATTTCGTATAGTCGCGTGCAGATTAAAAGCTCTCCTGCTCATCGCTGCATCAGAAAGATCGTGGCAGCTGGCACGTTCTCCGTTTTTACGTCCGCGCTTTTAGTTTTAGTTTCATTGCTCAATTTTTCCAAGGCGGCCGCAGTGGCTGAGTGGCTGGAGGTACGCACTACCACTCCGAAAGAAAAGCGCTCGATACAAGTAATTTTTAGCAAAAAAAAACCGACTTAAAAAAATATATATATTATCTATATATTTCATGATTCAATGATCGGATCTAAACCAAATTAGTATGGGACCACCTCTGAGACACTACCTTTCCGTATTGAAATCGGTTGACGTGGTAGTTATGCGGTAACATACATAAAAAAAATAATATTCCCACGAACTGATAACCTCCTCCTTTTTTGGAAGTCGGTTAATAATATTATTATTATTATGTGTCGCAGCTATTTAAAATCGATTCCTACTCCTACAGCGCAGTCTATCTTGGACCCACCAGTGTATATACAGATGGCTTCCTTATCTGCAACTTGGCCTCTTCTCCGTTCGCTTCTGGATAGGAATCGTGACTGGGGTGGGTTAGCAACCATGTAGTCTGACAAATGACAAAACATCGTTCCCTTTTCCTTTGTCAAAAACTTAAACCAATGCAAATTCATATCAAGTGGTGATATTAACTAGAACAACTGATTGCATTTTTCTTGCTTGGAGATTGTCTAAATAGGACGATTGTTGGCGTTTTTTTCCCCCTAGTTTCACAAGTAAATATTTAGCCTCGCTGGAATTTGTCATGCCCACGTTAAATATTTACCAAAAAAAATGAGAATGTAATAGCTCAGTTGTGCATACTTTGCACTGCACTACATAGAATGTAACTTTTATTTAAAATCAAAAACCAACAGACCTCTACATAACCTCGCTACCATGTCAAACTATCGAATGTGCAAAAATGATTTTTCATTTACGATACCTTGCGCGTGCGAATCTTCGAGTTTCTAGTCTTCTTAGAAGCAGAGGATACTGACCTTAACAAAGGATCGAATCCAATTTTTCCTAATGACAACAACATTTTTACAACAGTTTCTTTGCCCTCCTGAAAAGTACAGATTTTCACATTCGATGGTTTGACATGGTAGCGACGATATGTAATGCTGTGCGTTGGGTAACCGCTTACACGCAAAGCTCTTTTGACAGATTCCTTATGTGACCACTCTCATGCGATGCCAAGAATGCATAACTGAGCCTTAACTATCTTGCGAACGCATTAAAGCTCGGAACACTTTGACGACTGCAACTTCACGACGTAACGACAGCGACATCATTTTGTCGACAAATGTCGCCTTGAAGCCAGCTTCTTAAACATTTTGAAGACCTCAGCGACATAGCAAACAGCTGATTTTAAAGTTTGACATTTTGGTATATTTATTTCACAAATTGTGTATTTTTATTTAAGTAAATAAGAAAAACATGAACAATCAAGAATATGTGATTAATTTTGCGACAATTTAATTTTGCAGCACTACATCTACTCATTGTCGCCGGCAAAATTAGAAATAGATTTAATTTGGCGACGTCGACAATTGCAGTCCTGCAGCCAAGATGTCGTGCTGTCGTCAAAATAATTGTGTCCGTAAGAACGTGTGTATTTAAAATTTGACAGATGCTGCTTGGCGCTTGCTGTCGTCAAAGTGTTCCGAGCTTTAAACTGTATCTACATACATATATATGTACTTGTTTGGTTAGAGCCAATAGTACAAAACCACATTTCAATTCAAACAACAAGAGTGGAAGCAATTTGTCGCCGACATTGTAGGTCAGAGGCAAAATTACTCAAACGCAAGCACAGCGTCATCTGTATTTCGTCATTACCTATACCAAAGGTCGAATGTGACATTTTCCGTAAATGATTTTTTTATTATGCCGTTATTTCGCTGCCACACAGCCCCTATACCGAAATTCAAGAAATTGCACTTTCTAAAATACTTAGTGCAAGTTTTATTGGAATCTTATGAACAGCGCTGAACAGGATTATTCTGTTCACTTCAAGTTTTTTTTTGTTCTTCAATAACATTTGAAATTGCCTATTTAGGGCATTTTGCATTAATGCCGGCGATATGTACTTAGTGTCCACATATTTACATACCACTTTGCGATTTTTAAATGTGAACATAAACATCCGTATCGGTCCGTGCATTGCTTTGTGGTTGGACAAGTGAACAGAACAAGCATTTACACTTTGCTCAACAAATTTTACCCGAATCCAATAGACAAGAGATTTAGGTTACAAGTGAAATGCAGAACCACATCTCCACAACAACAACAACAAAACGAAAATACTCAAACCGAACCACGTGACTGGCGAAGTGATAATCCTACAAGGTGACAACCCGGAAGTGAGCGCCACTTTTACGAAATTTTGTACACAAACATACCTAAATACGCTGCGGGTAAACGCACTAGTACTGGAGAAATTATAACCAGGACTAGTGCGCGGTAGTTCTCGTTAACACGATAGCAACTGGCGAATTTAACACTTTGATGTCAATTTCCCTCCGCAGCATCGCCTTTTCAATATGTAGTTCCGAACCAGTTCTAAAATCGACGAAAATACGAAAAAAGTTACATGATTTCTTCAAACAGTGTCTTTTTGGTTTTGCCATGGTAGCGATTTTAAATTATTTTCAAACAGATGTGTTTTCAATTTGAGATCAAATTTATTGTCCAAAGGTGCTTGCTGTTATTGGTTATATTCCAGAAGGTCACAAGGTGTTAAAATTCTAAAACAAAAAACTTTGTTGTGCATTACCAAATTTTAAAACAGCATCTGTGAAGTGCAGCATGAAAACTTACTTGAACAAAAACCCGCGAAACAAATATCCATTTAAAATGAAGAAACCCCTGTCTGCATCCCTTTTCTATAGCTCCGAACCAGTCTTAAATTCGTCACCTAAGAAAAATGTATGTTCTTGATTCCTGCATAAAAATATATTTTTTTGGAAAAAGTGGACTTGGCAGCAACTTTTCACTCTTAGCTAGCGATATGTAATTTTAAAAAGTAAAATACATTTTTTTTTAAGTACCACATTCCGTTGCTTTTGAACTGGGAGGGATCTAGTTACTATCTGACTGGTTCGCTTGAAGCGATAAAAATCTAGTAGCGAACTAGAAATTTTGGTGCGCTTGTTCAGAGTTTCCCTGCAGGGTAAGTGCATATGTATGTTTGTGTGTGTATCTATATTTGTAAATATGACTTACATGTTCTTCAACGTCATAGAATTTGAGACACATGCACCTGTGTGACAGTATTTCGTTTTGAATTCATCTTTGATGGATAAACAAAAAGCTATTAATGGAACAAAATATTTATACATACATACATACATACATAGTACATACCTAGCCTAATTTATTTTACATTTAACTACACTGATTCTAAAGCAATTCGAAGAAAGTGTGTGACCCGTATATAAAACTATGTGGATAAACACTTGTCAGTGCTGTCATAGCCAGTGGAAGCCTACCTATTCGAGCAACCCCTTTATTTGCCGCATGCAACGCTGTGTTTGGGCACATATGTATGTACGCTCATAACCGTCGCCTAGCAACCACCAATAAATATTTGCATTCCCACTGGCGGCACATAAACAACATTCTCAGTAAACTTTGAGTCAACAACTGCAGAAAACATTTCACAAACCATTGAATACTCTTGCACTTTAGAATTACCAAATAAATGCAATGGTCACAGTGGAGTGAGAGGCACATTTGCATCGATTCCCCCAATTTAATGGGTTCAGCACTTCGAAAAATCTGTGGTTGCTGCCAAAGAAGAAAAAGGTTCGTCGTGTGGCTCTTACAGTCCGCGCTCCACTCCGAACAATATTAATTGCATGTTCTTTATATATTTTAATCTTTTGCGCCATAGAAATAGTGTCGGTGCAGTTCCCGAAAAACATCTGAAAGTTTTGCTACTGGGTCTGATGGGCAGCGGCAAATCCGAACTTGGCCATTTGCTGAGCCGCCAACAACGCCAAGACTACGAGCCGACAAACGGAGTGCAGTACTTTCGAATGCAACTCCCCGACCGACACTTGTCCCTCACAGAGGTGGGTGGTAATGTGGAAATGCAAAAAATATGGCATCATTACTTCCTTACAACGATGGGACTTATCTACTGTTTCGACATGTCGGCCTCCTTTGAAGAGCTTCAGAAATCCTTCGACTGCTTTCGAAACACTCTGATGCATCCGTACGTGCGTGGCAAGCCAGTCCTGCTAGTGGGCACCAAAGCCGATTTGGCGGACGAAGGCGTGCAGCTGTATGACATTGAGAACGCTTTCCTGCTGGAAGCTCTCGCCAAGTATTACCACAGCAGTGCGCACGTATGCTACGTCGGCAAGAGCATCGAGCTGACCAGTGTGTGGGATGGAGTGGCGTGGCTTATTAAGTATCTCATAGATAATATGGACCGGCTGCAAGCGAGAATTAAAATCGACGCCAATACGAAGGTAACCGAATCAGTTGTAATGAAATCATTGGAAGACAGTGAATTAATATTGTCCATTCGATGCAGGCTTGGCAGGACAAGGTGAACCAGCTGGTCTCCGAAGGACGAATCAAGCGGAGTCGGTATCGCCACTTTCAATATCACTTCAAAAATACAGCACGCAGAAAGGTAAATTTGGTCTTTCAATATTTTTCCCATATAAAAAGGGGTTTCTTTTCACAGGTGTGGTACCGTTCGTTTGGCCACTTTCGAACAAAACGCATTCGGCCACACACAGCGCCGGCCACAATAAACGCCGCAACGTTTGGCCTTTGCCCAATAGTGAAAGAACCACCAGCAATAGAGCGGCCAGAGGAGAAGTTCACCGATGTGCCAAACCCAAGTGCTCGTGCACTTGCAGTCGGAAAAGTTAGCTAGGAGGAGTGACGAAATTCAAAATTCTGTTGCTTCCACTGTAGTGAACTGCGCATTTCTGCCTCCTTTAAAATTTTCATTGTGCGATTTTATTGCAAACGGACACCAGCTTCGTTTAACAGTGAAATAAATTGTTTTCAGGTGATCAACACATTTGTTAGTTTATTCGACACTCTTTGGACCTCTTCAATCACTTTTGTAGACACTTGCTTCAATTTCGAAGCACATAATGTCCTTTCCTTGTCCTAATTTCACCTGCAACTTATATTCGCCATCGGCGCTGCGATCCTGCAGGTCGTACGACAAACCGAATAGCGAGTTAAACGATATGGTTAGCTGTGCAAAAGAAATATTAAAAATAGGCATCATTTTGATTGACCCATTACAGCAACTTACGCCCTGCTTCGGTGGACAGCCGCGATCTTCCGCTGGAACCACGTTGGAGATCGTGTACCATAATTCGTTTTCATTGTACAACGCCGGACAGAAATTCGACCGACGGATGTTATAGATCGTGTCTACCCACTCGCCGCGAGCCTTCTTGTACACCTGAGCGTCGAGCTGTAGAGTAACAAAGCTCATTAGGAACACATCGATTGAGCTGCCGTAGAAATTACCTGAATGGGCACGTCACCATTGAATTGGTGCGTCAACTTCAGATCTCCGGTTACCTTCACAAGATCACCTTGTCTCTCGAATGTTAGGTCCGAAATGTCGAAGAATGTGTCTATGTAATTTTCCGGATAGTCCTCGCAAGGCGTGAAAACCTCCTCATTCTCCACGACGAAATCGTAATTGACAGCCTAAAATAGAGAATAAAATAGAGAAATCCATGCAACGGGCAATGGCAGAGGCACCTCAACGGCGGCAACGAACACGGAGAATGCTACGAAGTATGAAAAGCGCTCCAGAAATTTTCCTAGCATTTTCTAACCAACACTGTGGATAGTGAGACAAGTGTTTGGGTCTTTTATAGGATTTCCATCGCATGCGTTTGCTTGCATATAGTACCTACTATGAACAATTTAATTGCCCTGGAATTAGAATTATCGCTTCCATCTGAATACGCGCTTCATTAGAAGTTACAAGCAAAACAACTGAAAAACAAGATGACAAGCTTCTGATTTTAAAGCAATGAATGAACATAACAAGTAAGCGCATGCAATAATGCAACCGGAATTTTTCGCTTTATCTGCTATCAGGGCGCAAAAGTGATAAAATTAAACAAACAAAAATAGTTTTATGTAACAAACTAGAACAAATCAAAAACCAATAAGAATTATCTATTTAAGATGTTTGCATCACTGCAGTAAGCAAATTAACCGTTAAAGGCTCCTTTACAATTTTGAGGTTGAAAAAAATTCCCCAAACTTCGTCTCTATATTTGTAAAACAGGGGAAGGAAAGTTTTCCCAATTCCCCATTTTTCGAATTCTTACCGAAGAGCGTGCCATCTTCTGGTAGACGACCAAAAAGGATTACGAAAGCTTATCGAAAAAGCTCCTTGCCTGAAAAGCTTTCCGGCATGTAACATCCTGAGATGCTCTTATCAAATGCCAAGTAAAGCAAAATGTAAGCTCAAAGTTTCTGTGTATGTACTACATTTACAATCAGTCACAATCCAAAGGATATACATATGTATGTATGTAGTTTCGCATCGATGCCTCGCTGATGACAAGTAACGGCATTTGATTCCGCTTCCGATTCTTTTTCTATTGAAGTGTGCATTACATCCAACATCGCGTGACATTGACGGTAAAAGCCGGGGCAGACGGCAGAGCTTCTGCATTTAATCTGGCACACATATGTGAATAATAATTTTACCAATGCAGACGGCAGTAATGCGGATAAACGAGCCGCAGAGTCATGGGTTCGAGTACCACGGCCAGTATAATTTTCATTTATTTCGTTTACATTATTTTTTTTTATAAGGTCTATATTTTTTTACGTGGCTTTCAGTTAGTTGTTGTTGATTTTTTAATAAAATTCAACTCTAAAAATTTAAATTAACTAATAGTAAAATAAAAAATGTGGTATAAAATAAATCAAATGAAAATAAAATAAAGTAAAATTAAATATGTAAATCAAACAAAATAAAAAATATATAAAACTCCAAAAAAAAACTCGCTCCAAACGAGGATTGAATCCGGCAGCTACAGGCTTGTAGTCCGCAACTCTCACCACTCGGCTACTCGGCTTACTTGTACAAAAGACAACAGCTAGCCGTCTTTTACCAGTGTTGTCATCGAAAATTCCCCGGACCCGAGTTAATTCTCAAAAATTTCGTGCATTTGTTCGGCTGCTTATACGCATTTAAAAGAGGAAAATGCATGCGCCAAAGCAAATAAAGGCTGTCTATGCAAATAATCGAGCCCGTTTGTCAACCGTATAAGATGTGAGGGCTTCTGAGTCCGTTTATGGTAATCGTGCCAAAATATTTTGTGTGAGGCAATATTTTCACCTGGAGAATTGTCATCTTTTAAATATTGTCCAACAACGTCTTGTGACGTAGAGCGTTCATTTTCAATACATATATATAAGTATATACAACATTTTATGCGATAATCGAAAATATTTTATTTGGAAATATAGATATGTATACATTTTTGGGGTCATTTCAATGATCATATAATTAAGTGTTTTGTGCATATTATCTATGTATTCCCTAATTATCATACACCATTTCCTTATGTGACTCCGCAAGCGCTTGTGGATCTCATAATCATCGCGCTTAAATGTGAGAATAGGTTTCCAATTCAAAAATAAACAGCGACCGCATCCACTTCTTAATCAGCCATTGATACCGTTCTGTAAAGCATCACAGCATTAAATCCCGAGTACTTCCACCCCCACCTCTCTCGCAACCCCAGCGAGCTAGCGCTGCAGTGCATAAATTCAACGGGCGCAGTAAATGCCCGTGAGAATGTGGACTGATTTCAGCACCTGCGCTTTTTCGATTGCCAATTCGCCTTTCGTTGAATTTGAGAACTTACGGCTCTCATCGCGGGCGACGACTACGACTACAGTGGCCACAATAACTAACTCTTGTGAATGGATGTGAAAGTTTTGCCGGCCGTCGCCGGTCCCTCAATTGCATTTACTTGTCAGCAAAAAAACACGCAACCACTGATGGGATAAATCCTTTACGCTGTTGACCTTAGTAACTCTACCCAACGAAGTCAAAAATATCAGCGGTCGAACAACTTGCAGCCGTTTTCTATGAACGGAAATGGCAGACGCAAAATGTTCTCGACAAATTTAGCGCTCGAATTCACTAAGCAGCTTTGCTGTGCGTACGGGATGGGTTGTGGATGTTATCCTTTCGTGTCTATGTATTGTTGCTATCCTTGTTACAGTCTAACCACATTGCGTGCTAATGACTATGCCCGTACGGCACGCAAAACGGGATTCATCGAAGTAATTTACATTGCGCGACTTATAAACAAGTGATGCTACACACTCTAATCTTAAGCGTATGCACCCCAGCCGGGCAACCAGAAATCAGTACTTATTATCACTCGCTTATATGTGCATATTTATGTATGTAAGTGCAATTACCCACACATACATGCTTAGATTCATATGTATAAAAAGCACATGAGCCGGCACTTGCCGCTTCCCCGCCAGCCTCATCCGTCAATGCGTTGATTGCTCGTTCGTCGCCTGTCAGTCAACGGCGAGCTTGCGTCACTTTCGCCTATCGCGAGTAATTATTGCGATCGCCGATGAAATCTCAAATACCAAAACATCGATTCAACCGCAAGGCGAAAACAAGAATTAGAACAAATGCGCGATTAAATCTTAATTTCACAGCCGAACTCATTTGCCTCGCTGCGGTACCTTCCTTTTTCATTCGCCTGCAAATTCTGTCCAATGGGAGTCGACGGCGGTGTGGCATGTGCCGATAGTGGCGACGATAGCGTGGAATGTGTCGCCACCAGAACGCAATTCCGGCGATGCACACAGCCTGAGAGCGTTCGTCCCGTGATTGATGACATCTCAAATAAGCAATGATTGATGCTCGCGAGCTCACCCTCACGCAAACACCCATACATACCCATACATACATCCCCGAATATTTTTATGTACTACAAATATGTTTACTCATATGTCCCTGCTACGATAATAGATACGACAACAGGAGCAACAAATTGGATGCCAGATTATACCAGCATACATGCATAGGTTCAACATATACATACGTATGTACCACATAGCCTTTATTATCCCAGTACGGAAAGTAACTAGTTTAAATATTGATGTTCAACCAGATTTTTACCCACCACAACTAATTGAAGATTTGATTGTGTTCCTTGGAACGAACTGTTTACTTTAACAGGGCGATGTTCAAGGAAGCAGTCAATTATGCGACTCTGCATTTGATTTCAACTACTTTAAAATGCCTTTGGCTTAAAGCACTTCAAAGTCAAATTCGTTTGAACACGCTTTCGCTCTACACTTCACAGATGCTTTTTCATATTTCCAAGACATAAAAAAAATATGTATTCAAATTTTTACATGTTGTCTCTGTTGGGATTCGAACCCGGACCTCCTGGAAGCTAACAAGTAACTACAGGCATATCTGCACGCTCACCTGCAGCCAGACATCTAAACGAGCTTTGAAATGTTCAGTATGAATTGTGTGCCAGAAGCAAGCCGATTGTCCGACTCTGCATTTGATTTTAACTACTTTAAGATGCCTTTGGCTTAAAGCAGTATGTTTCTTTTGCAGATTTCTTTTCATGCTGAAATAGTTAATTGGACAGAGTTAGATGATTTTTCAACTAATATTGAATATTATTTGCAAAGATATGAGAAGTGTAAGCATTTGGTTTATCTCCAGGAGGCTGCTAGTTGATTATATATCAATTTGAGGTCAGTTCACGTCTGAGAACTCGCCCTTCATCGAACTCTTCCACAATCTCCTAAACAAGGTTTTGGTCGAACTTTCGTTATTTGGCAAACGGCACGTGAAAATCTTAAGCCCTTTCTTCATTGTAAACTGCTCCTCATACAAAACTATTAGCTATTAGAAAACATCTTTTTTTTTTGACAGAGACTGTGAATGGAAGCCATTTTTTTCTTTGTAAAATCAAAAAGACACAGAGAAGAAAATGTCGCACCGTTTTTTCCAAGATACCAATAAAATCGACGCTTATTATAGAATACTAGTGAACCCGCATGGCGTTAAGACGCCAAAATTGAGTTTAACATTTTAAACAGATGGCAACACTATTCACAAACCTTAGTAAATATTGCAAATGTTTCAAGTTAATTCGTCCATCCCTTTTTGAACGAAGAGAGGTCTCACATGGCGTCGGTTTTTCATTTTCTCAAAATTCAACCCTGCTGCTAAAAAGAGATCTGATGACCATAACAAAAAAATTATTTATTTATAAAAATTAACTCAAACTATTTTTTTCGGTATATTATAGGTTTATTCGAAAGAACATATACATATTCCCATTAGATATGGAACCCGATTTCATCATGTGACTGTCTTCGTGGTAGCGCATCCTGTTAACCCAGTTCTCCAAGACTTTGGTAACGGTTTCTCGCTATATCGTAAGACATGCCCGACATACGCCTTAAGGGCCTGAATCGTTAATAGATTGTTCGCATTATATCGGTCCTTCACGGCATGGCACAAAAAAGACTAAGTGCGTGAAATCTTGGCCCCGAGGGGGCCAATCGACTTCACCGAGACAGCTGACAACACAATTACCGAAGTTTATCGCTCAAAAAAAAATCGAATAGGTGGCAACCCTAACAAAAAATATTTTCAAACTAAAGTTTTATTAAAACTCTTTCTTTTGCCACTCATATTTTAATATTTCATTAAAATTGTGTAAAAGCTAAATAAATTAGGCTTTTTAAACAGGTCGCAACCCTCAGCGAAGCATTTTCCAACTCAATTCATTTAAATTAAAAATTTTCAAGGGCTGGCA